CATCTAAATCCCAATGTCCTCTTCAATTCGCTAATTCTCTTCACTGAACCTTGATTTCGGAAATGCTTTTGAAATCTTAGTTTCAGGATCTTAGCAGCGGCTAAATTGCTAGCACATGAATTTGTGGTTTTAGGCTGGAATATAATGTTAGTACGCAGTTGCGGACGCGTGCATTTAACTTTACGGCTTGCTTTGGCTGTAACGATTGGATTTAGGTTTTATAATCTTGGCGCTAATACATCGCGTGCGCCTGGGCAGATCGTGTGCTGGTTCCAGAACGTGTAATTGCCACATCTCGAACCAACACACGATCTTGCGATTGATACATGGCGCCCCATATGTGTGAAAATTTCCTGTGATCATGATTGTCGCCTATACACCACCGTCTTTCAGGAGGACTAGATGCGGCTCCAAAACGTCTTCACGTTTCCAACATACCATTCCGTTTTCGCGATCCCGACTTGAGGATGATGTTTGAAAAGTTCGGTCCTGTGATTGATGTGGAGATCATTTTCAACGAAAGAGGAAGCAAGGCTAGTTATGAACTTTTTGCAAAGGATCGATTTTTGCTTGCCCACGGAGTGAATCAGCGTCCAGACACCTGTCCCCAGTGCTATATTTGTTAGACTTGCACCGGTTTGCATGTTAACCCTTTAGGACCTGGTGGTGGCAGTTGCCACCACCACTTCGGAGACCCGCTGTACTGAAGCAAAGACATGTTTTCAATACTCAATACTACAGACCGCTTGATACAACCTTTGCCATTGTACTTTAAAGCCGCCTATTCATTCGTTTTCCTGTCAGCTGCGTAAGGATTTTTACGTAAAAGTCGACTGCGGCCAATCAGTAGTTTGTGAGGGCGCTTTAGCAGGTATCAGCAATATCGTTTATAAGCCAAAAAGTACTCATAATGTTATCAGAATGTTTAAGTACAATACTGAAGAAGTATAATTGTTAGATTTTCGTGGGTCCACATGTACCGTGGAAGACTTTAAAATCCAAAATAAACGCAAAATCAAAAAATCAGAGAGTATTGGCTAATGTGGTTGAAATCATGCTGAAAAAACTCCAGACTTCGCTATAATGTTATTCATCTGAGTAAGTAAAAAATAATAGGAATGAAGCTTCTCTGCTTACTCGGAAAAACAGGTGAAAGGGTTAATGCGTGGTGCGTGATGGTTCCACGCGAAAACCTTGCAAGACCGATGCAAGTCGTCTGCCATTGCGATAGCCGGGTCAGGTTGGAGATTTTTTTGGCAGCTGATGAATCATTTGCGCTACCATTTGGGCATTATCTCAGAAAGTCACAGTAGTTTTTGACAAAAGCCCATGTGCAAATTTGCATGGACTCTCCTTCAATCAATTGCTTTTTAGGGGTTTGGTTTTGTTACAATGGAGAAAGCTGCAGATGCTGAAAAAGCTAGGCAGGAGCTTCATGGTTCCATGGTGGAGGGAAGGAAAGTGGAAGTGAATTGCGCAACCGCTCGAATACACTCGAAGAAAGTAAAACCATTGCCCGGTAAGCACTACGCTTTTTTCTTTCATAGCTTCGAGCAGTCTTTCGCGCAAGCCCAAGACATTTCACAATATTTAGGGGTGCTGGATCAGGCCATGACTGCATCGGCCCTACAAAATGCTGCCCTTGCTCAAGCTCAAGTGGCGCGAGCTTTGTACATGCGAAATCCATTGGTCGCCCAGTCCATGTTAGCAAGAAGTGGATTACTGGCTGGATTGCCGCAGTCATCTGTGCCTCTTCCGATAGCTACCAATTCACTTGCTACTGCTCATTTGCAAGGACAGCATCTACTCCTTGGAGCTGCTGGATTTCAGCAGAACGCTGCTATGCAACACGCTGCGTTTGCTTCTGATCAAACAGCAGCAGCATTGCTAACTGAACAGGCTCGACTTCAGCTCGCTGCGGCAGCGCAAGGTGAGTATAGGTATTGTTTCTATTGCGCAGTCACCTAAGCAGTGATTTGCATGGTATGTCTGTCGGGTGCACCACTGCATGAGCATGGCATTCATCTCGCTGTGTTTCAGCGCGTATCCCCACCTCGGCAGGTGCTTCTCTTGGTGAACAATACCTTGGACAAGCCCTTACTGCTGCTCTTCCTGCCTATCCTATCAATCAGGCGTATCGGAGCATCAACCGCTTTGCGCCCTATTAGCATGCATTGCACACGCTTGACGATGTGCTTATGACCTCCATTACTAATCTTTTTGTTCACGATAGACTGTTGACGTCGTTTGTTACACAGTTTATCATCCCCTTTCATAATCATCATCAACATTATCATCATCACCATCATCATCATAACTATCATCATCATTACCATCATCATCACCAGCTGCTTAATCATAATCATGTTATTCACCATCATTATCGTCGTCATCACGTCAACATCTGCGGAGATTTTCTGTAGGAGAGTGGTGAAGTGTTCTCCAGGGCGCCTAC